AATAAGGCTTCCTCCAGTGAAAAAGTGTTCTGGTGTGAATCAGGAGAGAAATCTGCACAGATCAAGCAGCGTTTAAACAGCTCTAAACAAATATGTGGCTGGATTTTGATGCGAGAGACAACAGCAGATGCACTTTTTCACTGGAGGAAGCGTTATTATGGATTACAGACTCGTATTTTAGCCGGAAGCAACGGTTTGAAGTTAAAAACGTCTTGATGGATTTGTTTCAGCTTTTGTCTTCTCCAGATGTTAACTGATGGACTGGAGTGCTGTGGATTACTTGTGGATTATTGTGATGTTTTTATCAGCTGTTTGGACTCTCATTCTGACGGCACCCATTCACTGCAGAGCATCCATTGCTGAGACACTGATGCAATGCTACATTTCTCTAAATCTGATGAAGAAACAAACTCATCCTAATCTTGGATGGCCAAGATTAAATTATTAAACTCAGAGCGTGTGTTGTCTCTGGACAGCGGGCATCGAGACGGGTCAAACGCACTAAACAAACTGTCTGTGTGATGGCAGACGGTGGCAAAGGTGAGCTGACAGTGACGTGACATCTTCACCCGTCCACCAGAAGCCTTTTGCTCTGGCCGAGAGAGACGGACGCCATCCAATCGAAACATACGGACAGTCCCGCTGACATTTCACTGGCCACAGCTGCTGGCGCTCTGACAGCCGACCGGCCAAACATTCCTGACGGGAGAGAGACGGGGAGAGAGCTGTGTGTGTGTGTGTGTGAGTGAGAGTGTGTGTGTGTGTGTGTGTGTGTGTGTGTGTGTGAGAGAGAGAGAGAGTGTGAGTGTGTGTGTGAGCGAGAGAGTGTGTGTGTGTGTGTGTGTGTGTGTGTGTGTGAGAGAGTCTGTGTGTGTGTGTGTGTGTGTGTGTGTGTGTGTGAGAGAGAGAGAGAGAGAGAGAGAGAGAGTGTGTGTGTGTGAGTGTGATTACTTGTTTATGGTACATTGTGGGGACTAAATATCCCCACAAGGATAGTAAAACCTGAAATTTTTTACATTGTGGGGACTGGCCTGCGGTCCCCGTGAGGGAAAGAAATTATTAAAAATAATAAATGATGTTTATCCGAAAGTGTAACAATGCAAACAGGTTTTCTGTAAGGGGTAGGTTTAGGGTTAGGGGATAGAAAATATTGTTTGGTCAGTATAAAAGTAATAGAAGTCTATGGAAAGTCCCCACAATTCACAGAAACAAACATGAGTGTGTGTGTGTGTGTGTTCAAGGATTTCAGAATGAAACTACACCAAATAAATCTGGAAATAAATAAAAAAATATATATTTACACTTTACACGCCACCACAAGGATAGTAAAACCTGAAATTTTTTACATTGTGGGGACTGGCCTGCGGTCCCCGTGAGGGAAAGAAATTATTAAAAATAATAAATGATGTTTATCCGAAAGTGTAACAATGCAAACAGGTTTTCTGTAAGGGGTAGGTTTAGGGTTAGGGGATAGAAAATATTGTTTGGTCAGTATAAAAGTAATAGAAGTCTATGGAAAGTCCCCACAATTCACAGAAACAAACATGAGTGTGTGTGTGTGTGTGTTCAAGGATTTCAGAATGAAACTACACCAAATAAATCTGGAAATAAATAAAAAAATATATATTTACACTTTACACGCCACCATTCAAAATTTGGGGTCGGGAGGCATCATTAAAGGGTTAGTTCACCCAAAAATGAAACTTAGCCGGTTATTTACTCACCCTCAAGCCATCCTCGGTGTATATGACTTTCTTCTTTCAGACGAATCCAATCGGACTTATATTAAAAATTGTCCTGGCACTTCTAAGCTCTATCATTGTAGTGGGCAGGTGTTTCTGTTTAACAGTCCAAAACACGTTAAATAAAGTGCGTGCATCCGTAATGAAACGTGCCTCACACAGAAGCATACGTCCTACGTCATCCGCCAGAACGCCTTCCGCGTACGACAGTCAGCAGAAGTGAGAGAAAAGTGTTTATTATGTTTGAAATATGGATATCTTTCTTACTAAAACGCATGGAATCGCTACAGAAGGCCTTTTTTCACCCCCGGAGCCATGTGAGGCACGTTTTATTATGGATGCGCGCACTTTATTTAGCGTGTTTTGGACTGAAGAGAAACACCCACCCACTGCAATAATAACGCTTGGAATAGCCAGGACAATTTTTAATATAACTCCGATTGGATTCGTCTGAAAGAAGAAAGTCATACACACCTAAGATGGTTCGAGGGTGAGTAAAACACTTTTGGGTGAACTAACCCTTTAATGTTTTTGAAAGAAGCCTCTTCTGCTCACCGAGCCTGCATTTATTGCATTAAAAATACAGGAAAAACAGTACAAATTTGAAATATTATTATGATTTAAAACAGCTGTTTTCTATGTGAACATCTGCTAAACTGCAATTTATTCCTGTGATCAAAGCAGAATTTTCAGCATCATTACTCCAGTTTTCAGTGTCACATGATCTTCAGAAATCATTCTAATATGCAGATTTGCTGCTCAAGAAACATTTCTGATTATTATCAATGTTGAAAACAGTTGTGCTGCCCAATATTTTTGTGGAAACCGTGATAAATTTATTTTTCAGGATTCACAGCTGAATAGAAAGTTCAAAAGAACAGCATTTATTTGAAATAGAAATCTTTTAAGACATTATAAACGTCTTTACTGACACTTTTGATTAATTTAATGTCCTTGATGAATAAAAGTATTAAATCTTAAAAAAAATTAAGAATGAATGAAGAAGCAGATGATCTAAAGTGTTTCACTGGAAAATTTATAATAAAAATATAAATTTTTTAATATTTGAACATTTTAATTTTTAATTACATTTAATTTTTAATATTTTCTATTTTAATTTAATTAATTTTTTTATTAAAAATAAATTAAATAAAAGCTAAAAAAAAATTAAGTAAAAAATTAAACATGCAAACATTAATCAACTAATAACATGCATTAAAAAGTAAATACGGTGAATTTTCATTTAAAGGGGTCATATGATGCGATTTCAATTGTTCCTTTCTCTTTGGAGTGTTACAAGCTCTTGGTGCATAAAGAAGATCTGTAAAGTTGCAAAGACTAAAGTCTCAAATCCAAAGAGATATTCTTTATAAAAGTTAAGAGTCAGCCACA